ACAGTGACAATTTTACTTCTTTTCCAGTTTGTATTTCTTTTTCTTCTCTGATTACCATGGCTAGGACTTCCAAAACTATGTTGAATAATAATGGTGAGAGTGGACATCCTTGTCTTGTTCCTGATCTTAGAGGAAATGCTTTCACTTTTTCACCATTGAGAATGATATTTGCTGTGGGTTTGTCATATATGGCCTTTATTATGTTGAGGTAGGTTCCCTTTATGCCTGCTTTCTGGAGAGATTTTATCACAAATGGGTGTTGAATTTTGTCAAAAGTTTTTCTGCATTGATTGAGATGATCATATGGTTTTTATTCTTCAATTTGTTAATATGGTGTATCACATTGATTGATTTGCATATAATGAAGAATCCTTGGATCCCTGGGATAAATCACACTTGATCATGGTATATGATCCTTTTAATGTGCTGTTGGAGTCTGTTTTCTAGTATTTGGTTGAGGATTTTTGCATCTATATTCATCAGTGATATTGATCTGTAATTTTCTTTTTTTGTAGTATCTTTGTCTGGTTTTGTTATCAGGGTGATGGTGGCCTGTTAGAATGAGTTTGGGAGTGTTCCTTCCCCTGCAATTTTTTGGAAGAGTTTGAGAAGGATGGGAGTTAACTCTTCTCTAAATGTTTGATACAATTCACCTGTGAAGCCATCTGGTCCTGGACTTTTGTTTGTTGGAAGATTTTTAATCACAGTTTCAATTTCATTACTTGTGATTGGTATGTTCATATTTTCTATTCCTGGTTCAGTCTTGGAAGATTATATCTTTCTAAGAACTTTTCCATTTCTTCCAGGTTGTCCATTTTTTTGGCATAGAGTTGCCTGTACTAGTCTCTTAGGATGCTTTGCATTTCTGCAGTGTCCATTGTAACTTCTCCTTTTTCATTTCTAATTTTGTTGATTTGAGTCCTCTCCCTCTTTTTCTTGATGAGTTTTCCTAATGGTTTATCAATTTTGTTTATCTTCTCTAAGAACCAGCTTTTAGTTTTATTGATCTTTGCTATTATTTTGTTAATTTTTGTCTCATTTATTTCTGCTCTGATCTTTATGATTTCTTTCCATCTGCTAACTTTGGGTTTTGTTTGTTTTTCTTTCTCTAGTTTCTTTAGGTGTAAGGTTAGATTGTTTATTTGAGATTTTTCTTGTTTCTTGAGGTAGGCTTGTATAGCTATAAACTTCCCTCTTAGAACTGCTTTTGCTGCATCCCATAGGTTTTGGATCGTTGTGTTTTCATTGTCATTTGTCTCTAAGTGTTTCTTTATTTCCTCTTTGATTTATTCAGTGATCTGTTGGTTATTTAGTAAGGTATTGTTTAGCTTCCATGTGTTTGTGTTTTTTACATTTTTTCCCCTGTAATTCATTTCTAATCTCATAGCGTTGTGGTCAGAAAAGATGCTTGATATGATTTCAATTTTCTTAAATTTACTGAGGCTTGATTTGTGACCCAAGGTGTGATCTATCCCAGAGAATCTTCCATGCACACTTGAGAAGAAAGTGTAATCTGCTGTTTTTGGATGGAATGTCCTATAAATATCAGTTAAATCTACGTGGTCTATTGTGTTATTTAAAGCTTCTGTTTCTTATTTATTTTCATTTTGGGTGGTCTGTCCATTGGTGTAAGTGAGGTGTTAAAGTCCCCCACTATGATTGTGTTACTGTCGATTTCCTCTTTTATTGCTGTTAGCAGTTGTCTTATGTATTGAGGTGCTCCTATGTTGGGTGCATATATATTTATAATTGTTGTATCTTCTTCTTGGATTGATCCCTTAATCATTATGTAGTGTCCTTCCTTGTCTCTTGTATCATTCTTTATTTTAATGTCTATTTTATCTGATATGAGTATTGCTACTCCAGCTTTGTTTTGATTTCCATTGGCATGGGATATCTTTTTCCATCCCCTCACTTTCAGTCTGTTTGTGTCGTTAGGTCTGAAGTGAGTCTCTTGTAGACAGCATCTATATGGGTCTTGTTTTTGTATTCATTCAGCAAGCCTGTGACTTTTGGTTGGAGCATTTAATCCATTCACTTTTAAGGTAATTATTGATATGTATGTTCCTGTGACCATTTTCTTAATTGTTTTGGGTTTGTTTCTCTAGGTCCTTTTCTTCTCATGTTTCACACTAGAGAAGTTCCTTTAGTATTTTCTGTAGAGCTGGTTTGGTGGTGCTGAATTCTCTTAGCTTTTGCTTGTCTGTAAAGCTTTTGATTTCTCCATCTAATCTGAATGAGATCCTTGCAGGGTAGAGTAATCTTGGTTGTAGGTTCTTCCCATTCACCACTTTAAGTATATCATGCCACTCCCTTCTTGTAGAGTTTCTGTTGAGAAATCAGCTGTTAACCTTATGGGAATTCCCTTGTATGTTATTTGTCATTTTTCCCTTGCTGCTTTCAATAATTTTTCTTTTTCTTTAATTTTTGCCAATTTGATTACTATGTGTCTCGGCATGTTTCTCCTTGGGTTTATCCTGTCTGGGACTCACTGCTCTTCCTGGACTTGTGTGGCTATTTCCTTTCCCATGTTAGGGAAGTTTTCAACTATAGTCTCTTCAAATATTTTCTCGGTCCTCTCTCTCTCTTTTCTCCTTCTGGGACCCCTATAATGCAAATGTTGCTGTGTTTAATGTTGCCCCAGAGATCTCTTAGTCTGTCTTCATTTCTTTTCATTCTTTTTTCTTCATTCTGTTCCACAGCAGTGAATTCCACCATTCTGTCTTCCAGGTCACTTATCCGTTCTTCTGCCTCAGTTATTCTGCTATTGATTCCTTCTTGTGTAGTTTTCATTTCAGTTATTGTATTGTTCATCTCTGTTTGTTTGTTCTTTAATTCTTCTAGGTCTTTGTTAAACATTTCTTGCATCTTCTCAATCTTTGCATCCATTGTCTTTCCGAGGTCCTTGATCATCTTCACTATCATTATTCTGAATTCTTTTTCTGGAAGGTTGACTATCTCCACTTAATTTAGTTGTTTTTCTGGCATTTTATCTTGTTCCTTCATCTGGTACATAGCCCTCTGCCTTTTCATCTTTTCTATGTTTCTGTGAATGTGGTTTTTTGTTCCACAGGCTGCAGGATTGTATTTCTTCTTGCTTCTGCTGTCTGCCCTCTGGTGGGTGAACGTTATAAGACATTTTAAATACCACTTTGCTCTTTGTAAGATACTTTATGATCCAAAAGAGTGTAATAAAGTACAGATGAGGTAAAATGGCCTTTAGGATGCTTTTACCCTTTACTACTACATTCATTATTTTGATTTCAATTTTAGAGGAATGATAAGCATAATGGCTCATTTCTATAAATATGTAATGAAGATATTGTATCATTTATATGTTCATAAACTTCCTTTATTTAATGTTCATTTGTAAAAGTAACACATTTAAAATATATACCACTGAACTGGTCCATTTCCTTAGCAAGTCAACAGTCATAGCAGTGCTCCTTTTGTAAACATTAGGGACTCAGGAAGGTAAGGAATTAAAATATATCTTCTAAAATCTCAGTGCAATAATTACAACTTATTTTATATTTGCTGCTCTCTGGATAAGGAATGCTTCTTTCTCATAATTAAAGTAAAACATAGAATATCACAGGACCTAGTTCTCCAAATTCTTCCTGTTTGTTACTCCATTCCACCTTTTTTCTTCCTTCTTAGCCAAATGCCTCTTCATTGGAATGAAAGGATTTTCCCTTGGTGAAGAGTAAGGTTCATAAGGCAGATATCTTAGTCTGACCATGTGGAGTCTGGTTTTGTACTTCAAAGTCAGCCTATTTAATATTGTAGTTGAACACATATCATCAAAACTGGCACAATCAAGGAAGTTATGTATCTTTAAAAGTAAACATTTTTTCAAATAAATTTACTTCAATCAAATTTTAGTCAATTTCTATGACCAGAAATAAAGCCTTCTATACATTAAGGAATAAAAGGAGATGAGGTTATTATCCTGATTCAGCTAAGTAAGACTTTGGAATTTAACTGCATCCATTGATGGAAAATTGGTCTGTTTGTTTGTTTAAATTGTTTCTCATTTTTAAGTTTCTGATAAAGGAGAGAAATATTGAAAGATTTAGCAAAGAAGGAGAGAAAGGAGAAATTGAATATAAGGACAAAAGTCTGAAAATATACCCATTCTCTTCATTACAAGCAAGGCTATAGTAACTGTACAGCATAAGTTATTTTCCACCATAATTAAGTTGTCCTCCTCTCATCTTTCCCCAGCAGTCACACACACCCCAATACAAATAGCCCAGATTTTCAACCAGATTGGGAGCTTCTCTGAGCATGATCCTGAATCTCTAACTACAGTGTATGTTCAAAGGCTAACCTAAGATCAGCCAATTATTTCACTCCATCTTCTTGGCCAAAGTGTTTGTCCAGGAATGGGTGCTTTATATGACAGACCATTCAGAGCTCTTTGCTGTTTGTTTTGGGGTTTCTTTTGAACAAAGAATTCTTTTATTTTCTGATTATGGCTGTGAGGATTCCCACTTGGAGTTTCCAGCAGCACCACCCCATGGAAAATTCTCTCTGCAGTGAGTAACAATCAACCTAACAAAGATAGTCAAGCAAAAACGGGAGGCAGAAAGTTGATTTTTGCAGGTTTCCATTCTCTTATTTTTGTTATCTCTAAAACAAAATATTTTAAAGATGAGTTTTTGTGAACCAATATATTCCACTTTCATTTTTTGCTTCAGCTAATTAAAATTCAGTTCCTGTCTCTTGTTATGACTTATAATAAAGTGGAACTCTCATTGAAGCATGAATGTAACTTTCTAATATAAATTTTATTGAAGTATAGAATACACAAGAGAAAGGTACACAAAAACATATGATTTAATAAACTTTTTACAAAATGAAAATGGACAAAATCAATCATTTTGAGTTCAGAGTAATTTGACTAGATACATTGCTGTATGTACCCTTCTCCTCCAAAGGAAGTAAGTGAAATAAGTTCTTATATGCGAAGTAACTTATGCTGGCAACAATCTTACCTGGGTCCATTCATTAGTTTGTGGATCATAGGATTCCATAGTGTTGAGGTAAGTCTGACCATCATAGCCACCAACAGCGTATAGTCTGTCACCAAGGAGACAGACACCAACAGCATCTCTGGGCATACTCAAAGGAGCCACCATGGTCCATGTGTCTGTTTTAGGATCATATCTAAAAGGTAAGGATAAAGGACATAACATATTCTAGTCACATTGAACTTTTACTATATTAATGATGCCCTTTCAAAACAAGTCATGGGCTTCCCTGGTGGCGCAGTGGTTGAGAGTCCGCCTACCGATGCAGGGGACATGGGTTCGTGCCCCGGTCCGGGAAGATCCCACATGCCATGGAGCGGCTGGGCCCGTGAGCCATGGCCGCTGAGCCTGCGCGTCCGGAACCTGTGCTCCGCAACGGGAGAGGACACAACAGTGAGAGGCCCGCATACC